ATTCTAAGGACACCAGGAGTGGTTTACGGCCCAAGAAACTGAGGGAGTGAATTGGGTTCCACCTGGGGATCTAAACAGGGAGAAGGATTTATGGCCCAAGATAAGACCCAACAAAGCCACTTCTATCTTGCTCTCAGGGCAGGATGATACCAGTAGATTTGTTAATTGGGAAGACAGCCCAGGGGGCAAGAAAGGTCAAAATTTTACCTTAAAAGGTAAAAAGTAAACTGCTAGAATGGAATGTGTAAACAGGGGCGGGAAACTTACAGGATAATTTGAAGCGTGGGATGGGCTGTGAACCCTGGAGTGCCCAGCCAGTGGGGAAACAGGGGAGGGAAATTTGTGCCGGGAATAGGGAATATAAACCGTTATTCACCTTACTATGGGTGTGCCTACTTGTTTAGGTCACCCATTCTTGCAAGAATGTAAACAAACTGTGCTTCGTTGAAGGATCTGTGTGGGCCTGTTAATTGGCGCGACAAACGTTTCTCACACCAAGGGGACAGTGTGAAGGAAGGCCGGCACCTCGGGCAGCAGCGCACGCCCTCCCTGCTGTTAGACCGGGCTCTGTGTGAAAACCTGCTGCCCTTGGCGGATAAACCTTGGTAATAAAGGAAAGGCTGCCAGTGTGGGATCATTTCCCACTTCCGTGGGTGTGGCTTAGGCGGAATGCAGGTTACAAAAGTGAGTCGGTGCAAGGCTGCCCAGTGAAACCCTGTGCTCTGGAGCAGCTGCTTGTTCCAGCAGGCCTGTCTCTGCAATAAGGGCATCAGGTTGCAGGGGTGAGGCTTTGGAAAAGGCCTTTTCCCCTTCGGGAGGTGAGGGAGCTGTTGGCAGTGGCTTAAAGGAGTGTCAGGGCACTGGCAGGAGGGTGGAAGAGCCTGAGAAGCTTGAGGGGACACAGCCAGCAGCGAGTGAAAATCGCTCGGTGTGATTCACGACAGTTGCAGGAGGCAGCGTGAAGAATCCCCGTCCCATCGCTTTGCCCACTGCATAAGCAAATACTATTAAGGTAGCCATCTGATGATGTTGAGATGGAATTAAACTTTCAGGTATTAAATGGGATTAACACCAGGAAGATTTTGTGCTCTGCTGTGTCCTGTCACTACACACCAACTTCATTAGGAGGGCAGTGACTGGGGAGAGGACAGGGGAGAGCAGCCTGGGAATCATTAACAAAAACAACAAAATCTCAGCAGCGCTTATTGGTTCAACATCGCCAATTTGGGAAGGGGAGAGGAACCTTGCTAATTTGCTGTTGAACAAATTAACCTGATATTGTATTTCTAGTTATTCTTAGCCTCACTTAGCTATTGTTAAGCCACTTTCTGCTGTCATTCCTCTTAATAAAGTCTGTGACTTGAATAAATTTCCCCAGCAACTTTGTGTTGGCATCACATCTGTAGTATCAGCTCAAGACTGTCCTTTATCTGTTCCTTACAAAAGGTACCCTGATTGAAGTTTCCTGTTGTAGTTCTCCTGGAATTTAGAGTAAACCAGCTTAGTATTAACATTTTGTTTGTATTGATGGGCAATCAGTTGTTTTTCTGATAACGCTAAAGAAAACAGAAGACAGCAGCACAAGCAAATGCAAAATTATCATCTTATCTTATAATTACTTGCCTAAACAAGCACTGAAAAAATTACTACTGCAACAAACATTTTCATGAGAAGTCAGTCTAGACTGAGGGCTGCTCTTGTGCCAGGTGTGCACCAATGGACTGAAAAAATAGGGAAGGATACAGAAGACTTTTCGTTTCCCCTAGATGAGTGGCATGCTGATTGAAATCTGTTCAGGCTGTATTGATTACAGTCCCCCTGTCCATCACCATCATCTGTCATCGTCTCTGGGCTGCTGGTGTGACAGCTGTGAAGGAGCAGAGTAAAGTTGACTGGCAGAGTGTTTTGCGTCTAATGAGTCTGTGCACAATAAGAGTATAATAACTAATGCTCTGGAGGAACTCGGCTATCGCTTTAACACCGCAAGAGAGAGATTGCCTTTGCAGAAGCTCCCAAAGCCATCTGTCATCTGTCATGGGCTGCGTGTCTGTGGCTGAGCTGGGCTGAGGGAATGGAAAGCACCAAAGGCTGGTGATGGGCACCTTGTATCGTGCAAGGAGATATAAAGTGGGCTGACATCAAGAACCCAGAATCGCTCAGGAAGAGCTTAAAACTACAAAGGCCCCGCGGATTTGATGCGCTGTAACTCAGCAGGGCAGGCTGCTGGGGAGACTTTTTCCAGATGAACCTTGGTCTGACATTCACTAAGAAATCACGCAGCAGTAGTCTGTCTGTGATGTGACATTTAGCAGACGGCCAGGACCATCAGGGATGAGTTACTGTGGCTTAGAGATGATCGGAAAAAAGCAGCAATGCATGATGGCCCCAGCACCAGCCCTCAGGTGGTGGGTTCAGATGTTGGTTCTGGTACAGACACTCAAGTGTCCTGTGTGACACTGAGCCTGCAGTACACCCAGGACAATAAGCCTCCAACATGCTGCTAGGAGGTGGCTACTGAGGAGCCCCATAACCTACCTGGTGGTCCATCAAGAGCAGCAGCATGACAGGTGCGAGCCCTTCTGCCATTGCATCACAGAATTTGTTTTCAAGTGTCACAGTTTGTGAGACAGGCCTGTGATCTCCCTTCTAAGATTCTGACAGTCAAGTGCTGACTGAGGTTGGCCACAGCAATGACGAACTGGGAGCTATGCCACCCTCTCCAGCAGCCTGGCATGGCCCGCACATGGGACTTGCTGCTTTGGGAAGCAGGAGACCTTCTTTGGTCCTTATGGGCTGCCTTTTCCTCTCCTGCTTCTCTCCATGCACCACCCATCTCTTGACCAGCTTGCCCAACACACAGCATAGGGGCTTCTCTGTGGGACAGCGATCTCACTATATATGGTGAAAACTGAGAAGCACAGCAGGATCTTTGCTGTTTTTCCAGTGTGGGGTGGATCAGCTCGACAGCCTCTGAAGGGAGGGAGCACAGGAGCCTTCATTCAAGATATCCCAGGGTTGAACAGGCTGAAACCCCAGTGCAGCAGAGGAAGGCATGAAAGCCTCAGTCTAGCTGTCTCAGATGACATCAGCCCCACTCACACACCCACCCAACCCTGTCCTTCCTGCAGCCAACTTTCCAGTTGTTGGAACATCCAACACTGCACCATGGCCAGTGTCAGGATGCAAACCATGAGATTAGGCAAGCCAGCAAACATCTGTACTGAGGATACCGAGAACAGTTTCAGGCCTTTTACAAGCCTTGATTTCATATGCTAGTCTCAGTTTACAGAGTCTTTTTATTATATTGAATATTGTTACCATTTTAAAAGTGTTTTTGATAGACTGGGCCCAAAGCCTGGTGCCTGTATTCAAAGATGCAGCACTGCTTTGCAGTAGAGTTTAATTGGGGTGCTGTTTTCTGCTTTTGAACTTATCATAATTATGAACAGATTTCATTTTTTTTAATATGTCCCCTGGTTTCTCCCTTCGAAAGAAAAATCTCATGTTTAATGAACTTAATTTTAGATAAAAGGAATTAAAAGAAGAAAATTAAAAATGCATGAAGCTCCCAGAGTCATCCAATTACTGTGATGTCCACACAGCAATGCTGGCGTGGATTTACAAAGCAAGCAAAAGCAGGAAATCACTGGGGCTCGCCGCATGTAAATGCTGCTCTATTCCAAAATGTGCTGAATTAGAAATGTATGGTTTATGCATTTCTTCTTCTTGATCTGTTGCAGAAGAAGATAAAGATCAAACATGGCAGCCCGCCCTCAGCAGCAGATGTATGCATACCCAGAATGCTCGCTGGCATTTCCAGCCCACATCTGGCTCTGTACTTGAACCACCAGAACACAAACCAGCAGCAGAAGGGGATGGTCCCTGCATTCACAGAGTGACCAAAGCAGCTGCCAGGCTAGGGTGGCCCTGAGGTAATAATGCTCATAGACCAACACTATGTGAGCACCTCAGACCAGATGGACTTCTTGGGACACGCCTTCATTTTTTCCCCAAAAGCAAATAAAAACCCAGATTCCCCCAAACCGATGACAAACAGGGTCAGTCTCATGGTGCAGGATTGCTGTGAGATCTGGGTAACACTTGGCAGTCAGGAGAAAGCACACATTCAAGGAGGCCGTATAGAGCACAGTAATATATTCAAATTTTATTTGACTGAAGTGATGAGCTCCACTTTAGACGTCAGCACTCTTAAGTGTGTACAAGGTGATACTGCTTATTTCTTCCCAAAAGCAAGCAAGGGAATCTTAATCATAGAAGTCATCAAAATCATCTTCTTCTGTGCTGTGAGTTTGTGGGCGCAAAGCAGCCTCGATCTCAGAGCTGCTGTCATCAGATTCACCCCAGAAAGCTGAGGGGGAGGAGAAAAAATAAAGAATTACAGAACCTTTCCCATGTTGATGCCATTGCTGCTAGAGACATGATTTTACAGCTGCCTGGAGGCAGAGAGGCACCACAGCTCGTAGAGAAGGTTGGAGCTGCAGATGGAGGTGTGTGCTTCCCACCCCGCGTGCTGCTGACACATCGTGGGCAGCACTGAGGGAGCTGCCTGGCCAAACAGTGGGCTCATTCAGAGGGCCCACTTCATTGTTCCTCAAGGTAGCTGGAGAGAACATTTCCACTCCAAGCAATTTACTTGACCAGCTGCTGCCTGAATTACAGCTTTGTCTATTATGTTCCACTTCCTCCCTCTACTTGACCCTCTGGTGAAGTCACAATCGGAGCATGACATCACAGAGTTGGCATAAAAATGGCAATGACGTCGCAAATGAAAAATCACCACTTTGTGACAGGATCAAGTACAAGCAAGACTGACTTCAAAGAACTGCATGGCTTTAACAGGCAGCTCTGGGAATTAGAATTTCACCAAAATAAACAGAATTGCACTGAAGTTCGGGGTGCCTGAGAAATCCCTTATTTGACCCACAAAAAGAAGGGAAAAGCACAACACTTGGAGCACCGTGAGGTGCAGGCAGGGATAGAGCTGTGCCTGCTCCTGGGCACAGTCAGAGGGCTCTGTGTCCACAGTCAGTGCAGGAGCCACGACTCCTCAGCTGAGGTGAGGCTCAGGAGCAGGAAGAGGAAGGCTGTGGTACCTCACACAGACATTTCGGCTCATGTTTGACTGCAAACGTGTTCAGCGCTTTTGATGGCATGAGCTATATCAAAACCTTATCTACAAATGCAGCAGCTGCAGCTTTCATCCTACATCCCCAGCCCCCTGGACAGCAGGTCTGTCCGTGGCCAGGAGCATCAGAGCCACCATGCCCAACACCTGCGAAGAGGCTGAAGGCTGCAAAAAAATGGAACTCCTCAGCAGAGGAGGAAATGGGCTGGGGATGTGAGCGGGCCTTTCACAGGGCACCAAAGCAGCCAGCATTCATGGCATCCTTAAGTCATCTCAGACGCCACAGCTCTAAAGCACAATCTGTGCCCTTTGGGACTGCAGAGTACCAAAGCTGAGCTCCAGGAAAATTGCTCCTTGCTTCCTACTCATGGTAGGTTCCATGAGAGATGACTGTGGGCACCAGTGGTCCTTATGGTGGTTAAAAGAGAAAAATGAAATGCAGGGGAGAACGCAAACATGCAGGGCACAGACACCAATTCCACAGAATGCCTGCTTGCTCATGGAAAACAGTTGTGTTCGTGCTGTTCTTGGAGGTCTTCTACAAAGCAAATTACAGCTCAAACGACATCAATTTTCAACATTTGTTACTTACCTTTGGATTTTATAGCAGCCACCACTCCCTTCCTAGTTTCAGTCCTGTAAAAGAGAAGGATTTCAAATAATCAGCACAATGTCACAAAATTAAAAGATTTTAAGTTGACTTTAGAAAAAACCAAACAACTGTGAGATGTTTTTTTAAAATATCACTAAGTTCTGCAACTATATTTTTTTAATAACTATTTCATCAGGGATTTCTTCACCTTTATGTCTTCTAAAAGGTGGTGAAATTAACATGCAGCAGGGACATGGGTCCAGATGTTCTAGCAGCCGTTCCTCCCTAGCAGTGCAAACGTTCACCGGCAGTGAATTCAGGGCACAAAGGATCAGAGCTCTGTCTATCTTTTGCAGCCTTTCAGATAATGCAAAGAAAGTAAAGCAAAAATCCAAACACAAACAAAAAGCACCCCCCACCGATGTTCACTGAACTTCCTTATTCCTGTTCCTGCCAGTACACTCCTCCAGCCCAGCCGCTGGGTTCCCATCACACCATCCTGGTCCTGATGTAAATGTGCAATCTCCCTGCTGCCTTTGATCTACCTTGATGTATGTGCAGTTGCAATTCTGCTCTGTTAAATGACTGCTCTTGTGTCTGGAGCATCACAGGCCCTTTTGAATCTCTCAAACAAGCTGGAACCATTTTGATCTTTTGTGTGTAGCGTGTGTATTGTGTTGGTGCTGTGAAATAATCACATAGGGGCAACGATGTAGGAGAATTAACTGTTATATTAACAATCCTGCAATAAGCTCTAAAAATAAAGCTTCAGCTGATTTTAATAAGGAAGATCAAATAGGAAACATTTGTGACATTACTGTGCAAACTAGCAAAATATAAGCCAGAGTCAAGCTGCAATTTGAAGCTGTTGCCGCAGTCAAAACAGGACTCAATGAGCTGTCAAAAATCTCATACAGTTTGCTGCATTTAATTTAAAGACAGGGCATAATACATAATTGTTAATACAGCTAATACAGAGTTGCTTAAAGTGGGGAGTTAAAAATAATCTAACTACTGTTGTGAAGGCATTTGTGAGGGAGACACACAAAAAAGCAGAGATGATTCACTGCCTGCCTTATACCACTGCATTCAATAACAATTTGGGATTGGAAAGGTAAACTTAAAGCAGGGTGAGTTGAATTACGTTACAGCTACCTACATTACAGAAACTTTTCCTTGAAAATCAGAGAAAGCTCAACCTGTTTAAATGATATTCCTTTTCTTTAATCTGTGAATGCCATTAGCACACAGCTTCCCTCTTTGCAGATATAAAAAAAATCCTAGAAATAGAATAGTAAACAACCAAAGTTCAACCAAGATACCCAACTGAGGCTTAAGTACTAGTAACAAGTAATGGTATTAGGAGACCATTAACAGTGGTATAACTATTAAGTGAAAAACTTGAAAAAGTTTGCCTTCAAATCTGTTAGCACACCTTCCAAATGCTTTTTCTGTGTTGTTCCAACCCTACACTGTATTAGACTTCACAAATACTGTTCAAATACTGTCATTCAAAAGAGTTTCCAGCAAGTATTTTAAGCCTGAGCCTCTGGCTTGAGTCCTGCAGTACTCTAAACGCCCTTAACTCTTTCTTGTTTTGGTGAGCTTCCATGGCCCTCAACAATTCCCAGGAGATGCTTCATGTATCCCAGACTCAGCCCATAAAAATGTGCTCAAGAGACTGAAGCTCTGGTGGCTGCATCATTTCTCTCCTAGGTGTAGAGCAAGAAACCACTTGTTGCTGAACTACAAATGGAGAGGTGAATTCTGTGGCAGACTGCAGAAGAACCATTTTGTCTTCAAGTAGCTCAGTAAAACAAGATCAGGCAGCTGGCAGCTCCTGTCTCTGCTGCCGGCTGCTCCGTCTCCCACTGTGGTGAAGGAAAGCACATGGGTCTTTGCCACTCAGCCATGTGAAGATGTCCCTAGAAGTGATCTCTTGCTCCACTTCTCTCCATCGTTCAAGCTCAGATCAAACATGAGGGTGTTGGTCACTTGGGCCTAGAGCTTCTGCTGTGCCCAGGACCACCATACACAAGGTGGGACATGGGACCACCAGTGGAAGACACAACTGCCCAGGTCTCAGGTGGCTTGATCCTCTTGCACAACTTGATGCACTACAAGATGCTTCAGGTCCTGCTGACGGCCAGTGGCTTCATAGAGAAGTTGTGGTCAACAACGACCACGGTGGCTGTAGGAAGGTCTGGAAACCTTCCCTCTTCTGCTTCAGTTTCCCATGAGGAAAATGGCCGATGCTGACCCGAGAGGGAAAGAAGACAGATATTTGTGATCTACCCAAACCCATCCTTTTCCTCTGCTTCATGCTCCCAGGGCTAATCCACCATGCATAGAACTGGATTTACTCCCAGAATAGCAGAGAGCTGCAGTGCTGTACACGAGGAGTTGGGCATTACTGTGACACAGAAGTCCATAAAGAAAGCTGTGGAGAAGGGTGGCAGCAAAGGTTTGGCACAAAAGCTGTTGGCATGCAGGGGAATGCCTGGGTAGATGGGGAAAACAGAACAAGGACAGCAGAAAGGCCAGACTGAAAATCAGAGCTCCACCAAACCAAGCCTGGAAAATACCACAAGATAGCTTTGTAACAGGGAGTAAAATTCCTGAGTTATGTGTGAAGAGTTAGTCAAGGCTGGTAAGATGCAAGGAGGCCTCTGCATTGCAAAACATTTGTATTCAAAGATCGGCAAATTCAATCATGGAAGTTATTATCTGGTATCCTGAGCACACAATAACCACACAGACCTCCACCGAGAAATTTAGGAGTATAAATGAAGTAAGGCCAGTTTCACTACCTCAGCTAATCCCCCGTTGCGATCCTTCGATATCCATTTACACATTTGCTCCTTCCCTAAAATAATTCCAAACTGAACCCAGGCTCTAACAAAGAAAAAACCCAAACCAGTTTAACTTCAAAGAGCCTTTTAATCTCTGCTTTACTCTGATGAAATAGGCTTTTTGTATTGAAGATGCTGCAACAATAAGAAATGAAAAAGCTCCAAGAAAATATTTTTTTCCTCCTTACAGAAAATAAGAGGAAAATAGGAGACCAAGAAGAAGCCCAGTTAATAAAGGTGGCTCACTGAAAATCAGCAGAAAATGTTTGCTTTAGGCTGAGTATCTTTTTGCTGTAGTACCTGTTGAACCTCTATGTTTTAGTGTCAAGTGAAAAAAGACATCCAAAGTCCAAGGAAAAATAAAAAAAGACATCAAATTGCCAAAAAATTTAAAAGGCACAAAGAATGCTACCCACATATCAAGGAGAAAAAAACAATAAACTAAAATCAACAAAAACCACCCAAGTGTTAAGAGAACAGAAAAACCACCAGCTGAATGCCAAGTTTTATCAGAAAAAGAAACAAAACACAGAGTGCAGCAGCCTCGGGAACACGATACTCCAGAGGCTCAAAGCTCATGTGCCTCAGGCCACCCAAACCATACCCAGTATTTCTCTTTCACAAGGCAGTGCTCAGTAACCCTCAGTGAGAAAGGCAACAAAGCATCTCCCCAGCAATAAGGGGGGAGGCAGAGTTGCAGATCCGTCTTTAAAAATAATTTGCTCAAAACATCTAAGAGCCTCAATGCAAAGAGTGAGCCAGGCTGCTCCATGGCAGGGCCCCTGACGTGACATTCTCAGCTGGGTCTCCCCACTCCAACCACACACTGTCCTGCCACTTCCTGCAAAAGCCTGATAGCTCTATCATTTTCGGCTGATCATGTCCTAGAAACTGGGCATCACAGAAGTATTTCCTACCCTGGAAAGTTAGTGTAAACTAACAAATCCATTCATCATGCCAGAACTGAAGCAATAATATTGAACTGAAGTAATTACCCTGCAAATAGGATGAGTTTTATTTTAGGATACAAAGATCTATGTCGAGCTACGTTTAAGACTGTTCTCTGCTGAAGAAAAAACCCATTCTGGCCTAGAGAAATCACTGACACAAAGCCTGAATCACAGCACTGAGATGAAGCTGTGGCGGAAGAGCAGAGGGCATGGCCGCAAAAATAAACTATTTCCTCTCTATTCCAAAGGCAACACATTTATAGACACATGTTGTTGCCACTCCCCACCAATGTTCACCAAGCATCACCACTACAATATCATTACTTTTGCAACAGCTGGATGGATATTCAGATTCAGGAAACAAAGCTCACAGAATTATCTGTAGCATCACAAAAATGCGCTTGAATTTACAGTCAACACCTTATAGCAGTGATTGGGAAGTGTGGCAGGAGGATGAGACTGTCAGATCTGAGCTGGTTTCTGGTTGCATGTCTCAGGAGCCTGGAAAGTTGCCCATTCCCTTGCCCTAGTTTTCGTGGTAAATAAATGCATGTCCTGCCCGCACCTACCCCAGACCTTTGGAGTCTCTCTCCAGACTCCCCCGCCCCAGTCAGTTCAGCAGTGTCGGGACTGGTTTTGAAGACAGGGGGAGGCAGGGGGGATGCACAGAGCCGGAGTGCCCCCCGATGGCAAGCCCGGCGAGCAGCGGCAGCGGGCCCGGCCTTAAACATCACCCCCGAGAATAACTAAGAGGATGAATTATAATCTGCCAACTTTTATTTGCATATCATTACATCTGTGTTTGGTAAAGGCAGCTTTTGACTAAAAAACAGCCTTCAGAGACCAGGTGGGATTACTTCCAGAAGACAAATTAATCAAAGTTTAAAATACTTTACACCATGTTTATGGCCTGACAAATTACAATTGTTCTTTGGTTCTCAGTCGATAATGCATCTTTAATCTCCAGATTATTTTGCAACGAGACAGAGCAAACAAGTCCAAGAAAAATAAACTGCCTGCATTAAAAAAAAAAAATAACAATAATCGGGAGTTACCCAGCAAGCTAGTGACCTCCACTGGCTGCATCCCCCGGTACAGGGCCAGGGAATGCCACACACAGCGCCGGCCGCCAGCTCTTGCCCAGAGACTCGCTCCTGACTTCTGATACCTTTTCCTCTAAGTAACTGTTTAATACAACATGCTCTTTTCTGCTGAAAAACACTAACTCTCCACACGAAAGCTCCCTCTCTGTGTGGGTAAATATTCTCTCAGTGAAATAAATAAAGACAGGAAAAAGTAGTTTTATAGCTGAACCTGGAGCAGGACAGTATTTGCAGGAGAAGAGGAAGCTCTGGCATGCACCTCAGAACAAAAGGGAACAAGTGGTCTTTACTCAGAGAGCAGCTTCCTATTAAGACTCACTCCTTCGTACATTATGCCTTTCATCCCCACTCAACCACAAAATGATTTTGCTGTAGGAAATACAATGGTAGAAAAAGATTTACATTGAAAGAATCTTTAATAATAAACTGTTGCAGATCTGCCTACTTCCCCATGATTTATAATACAATAAACATCGGATTCTATTAAGTCTCATGCACTGAAGACATGCACTGAAAAACCGAATATGAAAGCCCTCAATTCTTCCCGTCTCCAGTACCATAATAGTGAAATGAGCATGTATAAATGTGCTAAGAGTATCTCTTTGCATCTTTTATTGCTTGTGTGTATTAATCTGTAAAGCTTATTAAGAAAGTCATTGCTATGCAAAGCAGCACCCAATCTCTTTCTCTTGCTTTTCAACAGAGCGCAGTGTTTAGCCAATAGGACCGGTCCCCTGCCCCTCATTCGGCATTCATAACATGCAACATTTGCACAATGTATCTCTCAAAGGCTGCTGAATAGAAAGCCTTAATACTCATGTAAACAACTGCAAACCAATTACTTAATGAATCAGGCCCACACATAATGAGGTGCCAGACAAAGAGCTATAAATGCATTTTTGCACCCGGGCCTCTGCTTTAAAGTAAAATCCCTCAGCTGTAGTTTGGGCTTAACTGGCACATCATAATTATTGTCTGGAGGACATCAGAGGAAGCCTTTTTTTTTTTATTTAGGTCCAGCAGGGTCTTTTGCGAGGTCACTCATCAGCTCAGTGACAAAACACAGCAAAGAAGAATTTATAAAAAGTACCAGCGCAGTGCGACGCAGTTATGTTTATTCTCAAGTAGTGGGTTTCGAGACCACTTGTGAAAGCAATAAAGCCCGAGGAGTGACTGCAGTAAGTGGAGCGCTCGAATGGGAGCGGCGAAGGAATCGCACGGCCTCCTGGCCGCCCGCTGTCCCTCCATCCTTCTCACCATTGCTGCTACTCCCCGGCTTTGCAGAGCCCCAAAGCAAGGGCTGCTCATAAACCTTGTGCTTAGAAGGCTGCCTTTTTGACTCTTTTTTAGCAAACTAACTTTAAGCCCTCACAAGAGATTTTTTTTTTCATTTTAAAGCAGCATCGTTGTGTATGGTGCCCTTGTTTCTCAGCGTTGAGAGGCATGAAAATACAGGGCAGTGTGAAAGATTTTAAAATCTATTGTAAACAACTTGGAAAAAAACCCCCACGAAACAACAAAAAAATCCCCTGTATGCCACATGAACAGCATCTGAAAGATTTAGAAGTCACCAAATGGAAGCAGTGCAACATCCAAGGGGGCAAAAGCTCAGAGAGTTTTTTATTTGAATTTTAAACATTGTTAATTTGAAATTACACACATTTATTCAGCTGCTTAGCAGTGATCCTGTAAGCAAGTTCTCCAGGGCCTGATCCATCTCTTCTGGCTGCCCTGGGTTTCAGCAAATGGCCAAAATTTAAATTGATCTATAGGAGCACCCTGATATTTCATAGCAGTAGGTAGTGTGATTTGGAACATTATTAAGTTCCAGGAAATTTAAAAAGAAAAAAAATAAATAGTTTGAGCACAAGACTATAAGAATTAATCCTGAAGAAAAGCATGAATGTCACTCATCAATATTGTATTATGGCTTGTCTTTATTTACTGCACTTGAAGAATTACTGAAATACTGTTATTTTAACACAAAATGCAGAATACCACTTGTGAAATTGGAATTCTCATATCAGAACTGACCTCATCAATAACTACATTGAAAAAGCTATGGAAAGATAGCAATGCTGTATAATCAGGAGTTAAAAAATTATCAGAATGCTTTAAGTCCTTCCCCAAGTGCTGTTGATGGCAGCTTTCAGAGCAGGAGCCGAGTGGCAGCGGCACCCACTTGCTGGGCTGATAAGGATCTAAAGCCGAGCCAATACTGCATGAGATGGCCGTGTTATAGCCTATTTTCTGCTGCTTCTTGACCACTAATTTGATTGCTGCTGTTTGATTATCATTCCATGCCAATGCAGAACACAAGGAACATCCAGCAGAACTACTCAGGGACCCAGAGGGAACTGCTGCAGTTTAAAATAAAGCAGAACTAACCCACACACAAGCCAACTTTTTCTGTTTTTTTGTTGTTTGGTTTTTTTTTTTCCCAAGAACAAAGTGCACCCTTTAGGTACATGCAAGGTCATTAATTAAACATACTCAGACTGAAAGCAAGAAAGGTGTGTTATAAATACCCCAGTATCAAATCCAAGCACTGCCCCCCCAACCCTCAGCCCAAGAAAAGCGCTATCCAGTTACAGCTAGTTTACATCTCAGATGCACAGAGAAGAAACCCAGCACTTTATTTCTTGAAGACTTTATGTTTTATGCCTGCCCCTCTCCTGACAACTCCCATTGTCTGGCCCCTGAGTAGCCCTACTGAGAGCAGCTGTACACGCTAATTTGTGGTTCACTGAGATGTCAATTGAGTCTTAAAATGAGAAAACAACAGCTGCAAAACAATACTTGGCTTTGGCACAAATATTTTCTAAGGTGTATCAAAGTTGAAGATGTTTTATCAGATAAACAAATACTAAGATTCATATGTAGGTCAAGTGAAAAGTAAAATAATCAGAGCTTCAGTCATTTTTTGTCTGTGTTTCTCATGCCACAAAAGCATTTCAAATGTTAAAGGATTTAACAATTTACCTTGAGAAGGGAAGACTTTCATTCGATGAAGAACTACTTTCCAATTGCATTTCTTGGTTTTCTTTTGCTTTGGAACCATCATTGCCAATATCCAAACCTGTTAAGTAAAAACATTACACAAACTTTCAAATAACACTGGCTGGACCTTACAACATCGTGCAGCCCCTGGCAAACAAATCCTATTTTCGAATAGATGCACGTAATGGCCACACTCTTAGTCTGATGACAAAGTCTAGAGGAGCACACACCCCGCAGTCATCATATCTGCCTCAAGATTGTTTGCTTGTGATTCAGTGGAAATTAGTTAAAAACACAGAAAGTGAGACTCCCTTATTATCAATTAAGTTAGCTGACAATGACTTCTTGTGAATAGGGAAATTTTTCAACATTTTAACTCACTTTAGGAAAAAAGAGCAAACACCGAGCTACTCCAGAGCTGTATTACATCATGGCAACTTTAAGCAAAACTTAAAATATTTCTGGAGTCTTATTATTTTTTTTATCCCCGAGTTCTCATTTACTTATATTAATCAGGAAACAAGGTTATTTTTATTCTCCTTTCCCTTAAATGTTGATTATTTTGGATAGCTGCAGTTCTTTTATTGTTTGATACTTCAGTATTTTCAACCATTCTCTTGAAACAGCTGCATTTCGGAGACACAAATCTTGTGATTTTTGACTTGAAAAGCCAAACACCCAACTATTTCAGAATCTTCTATCCACATTTTTCTTTCTTTCCTTCCCCTCTATCCCCATACCTCCCCCCCCGCCCCAAACCCCAGCTCTGTGTATCTCATTTCCATTCTGTAGAGACTGATTTAAAGGGAAAAAAAAAGGAAGAGGTAAATTGATTCATTCACTGGAATTGTACAATTGCTCATCTTTGTACTCATTTCCAAAGAACACGATGCTCAAGTACAAATCCCACTTTAAAAGGCTACTTTGCATATATATATATAGCACTGAAATGATAAACAAGCTCTGATTGTTACCAACTTCTTTCCAACCCAGGACAATTTAGTATTTCTGTACATCTTAGACAGTCCTACTTTCTAGCTGGCCATGCACATTACCAGCCTGCTGGGGCAGACCACACCACTCTGCACTTGGATTTCAGCGGCTCAGACCCTGCTCAGCCTCAGGCCCTTCCAACAAGGTGCAAAACACCTGACTGGCACTGGAACCGGCAGAGCCCAAGCACAGGAGCTGCAGTGGCAGCAGCATGCTACTTGCAGAGCACAGTCTGACCACTTCCCAGAGAACACACAAAGGAAAAGAAACCAAGAATGGGAGGGGAAAAAAACAGAAAAGGGAAAAAAGGGGATTCCTTCCCTCCTTCCTTACTCCCTCCTCTCCCTTTCCTGTGACGCACATGTGCGGAGAACAGACCTGCAGGGATCACAGAGGGAAACTTGGACGAAAGGCTGAGCAATGTGGGCATGCACTGAGAAGCCACTGGCCACAAAGGAATGAGTATTTTGTACAGTAGCTTTATTTGCTTTCCTTCATTTAATCTGATTAGGTCAGAACTCCCAGAAACTGCTTTTCACTCCAGCAGTAAAGCACTTAACATAGGTGTATTTTTCAGGACTTCCCATGCACGGATTCAAACCACAACACACAAAGTGTGTTTCCTCCTCCCCAGCTAAAACAGGTTAAGAGTTTCCAGACCAGATGGTAGCCTCAGAGGGCATCAAGCATGCTGGCTAAGCAGCTGCACCCCATGTATGCTCCTCAAAGCCTTCTATTTATTTGAGGCTAAGAATGGGAGCCCCAGCCTGAGCAGGGACCCAATACTCAGCTTGCTGTTGATGGGGTCTCCTCAGCAGGA